AAGTGACAATTGGTCTCAAGATCGTTTTATAAACAATTAGCCCTGCATTCAATGGTATTTTTCAATAACGCTGTTTTCCGTAATGCAAAAAGACATTTGTGGTCAGCTGCGATTCTTGATTTTTTTTCTACTATGGTGTCAATTTGCCCGTCACTAAAGCTCCTAGGTATTTGACACTGTCAACATTCTTAAAAGTGTGGCGGTATCCTTCTCTTTCTATCCCTCACTTTTTGAGGATATCATATATTATATATAATATATTATGTATTTTTCTTCTTTATTTACCTTAAGATCCATTTTTTTTTCGAACTTCAAACTCCTGTAAAGCTTCTGATAGTGAGTGTAGCCTTTAGATCTTGATGATATTACCACATCATCAGATACGCCAAGTTTTGGATGAGTCGATTATATATTGTTCCTCTTGGGTTGGTCTTAATTTATCTGACCGTATGAACCAATGCAACATTGAATAATACAGGGAGGAGAGAGGATCTACTTGGCATAAACCATTCTCTACTTTAAATTCTTCTAACAGAGTGTTCTGTATCTTCACCTTGCTTCTGGTGTTTTGAAGGGTCATCGCACTCAATCCTACCAGTTTTTCTAGAACTCGAGTGCTTTCATGACCTTAAGCAGTCATTATTAATATATACAAATACATAAATATTTAAGTAATAACAAAAAATATATTTATAGTTAATATTACTAGTCCCGCCTCGTTTATGTTTTCACTTCTATCGTGTGTTCTTAAGAAAACCCGAATTTTTTTATTTTCAAAGTGGTTGAAAATAATTATTTTTTAAAATATATTTCTATTTTTTTAAATTTATATTAATTATGTCGATATGAATGCAAAGAGATATTAAGATTGAGATGAGATTAAAACCATTAATAGTAATTTCTCTAGACGATAAGAAATCTTGTGAGACAGAAATTGAATGAACTCAAGCGAAATTCAGTGAATACGAAAATCAGTTTTACCCAATCGGTGCGTTGTTACTTATTAATCAGATTTTATCGAGAAGCATTTAAATGTATTTTATGAAACAACAGAAGTGTGTTATCATTTAAATAAAATAGAATACTCATTATGGTATTATTTTTGCTTCGGATTTCTAATAGTAAATTGTAGCTAAAAACAATAAAGAAGGGTTAAGAATATTAGAACACTTATGGTTTTATTATAAAATATTCCTTATTGTATAGCATCTAAGGGAGTATTTCAATAATATTCAATTGTGCTAGAGGAGAATGGTATTTTGTTGGTTAAACAAAAAATTTATGGATTTATTTAGTTTTTAATTGTATTGTTGTTTCTAAAGGTAAATGGCTTCATGTTTCTAGGCCGTTATATAATTGAAAGTATTATTATAAAAATATACATATTCGTTCATAATATATTCAGTATTATAATTATTATAAATTCTAATTAAAATATATATCTGAAAATTAGGTAAGCTTTTTTTTTTTAATAAATATTAAAAGACTTTTGATCAAGCATATATGATTTTTATGTTTTGACTTGGCAAAGAAAACCTATATTTTTCGTTGTTTGGAGGGATGACTGTTTAAATGTATTTATATTTAATTATAAAAAACTTGAATAGTGCAATAATTGTTATAGGAACTTGGTATTAATAATAAAAAATATATTTCGAATTCGTTCAGATTTTTTTCCACCTTTATTATACACCTCGGACACTTGTCGTATTAGGGACATTAGCGAATATTAAAGTTTAGAAATTCATTCCTAATGATTTCATCTGCCCTTTTCATTCGCTTCATTATTTATTTATTGCCTAAACAATCGTAATAGTAATGATAATGACATCCGGTTAACAAACTTTGGTATTTAAATATTTTGAAAATCCACATTTCATAATTAAATCAAATTTCACGAAAATTCGCTCAATTTAATACTAACAATTACAACTCAAATGCTCACAGCCACTAGTAGATTCATGGTGGGTTTAGGGTTTCGGCCTGAAGCCACCAAAAATGGAAAATCATTTTTGTTTCCATTGGACCGTATTTTTTTCTGGCAGTGATCTGAATTAAATAGTTAAAAAATCACAATAGGTTCTCTTTTTAAATTATAAACGCTTCTAAGCACATTTCAAGAAAAAAAGTAATCCCTAATAGCATCAATTAACAAAAATAAATAAAAGGCCCCCACCAAAAGAAAAATCCTTGAATATGCTAATGATAAAAGCATTAATTATTTTAAAAAAGAAATAATCATATCTTCAACACATCAAAGATCATTGTTTATCTTTAAAGATGATAGAAAAGAGTTAAAGGTTGAAAACTAATCATAAAAACGGCATTCCTGGACTCGACTTCTCAAATGCAAGAAGCCAGCATGAAGTGCCTCTATCCTGTCGACAGATGCATAAAGTCCTAGAGGCTATAAATGATGCACTCCTGAGCCAGAGTGCATTTATATCGAAGCAGCGGATGATGGACTGGTAGAGATAAGAGCGCTACTAACTCACGTCCCAGATAGTGAATAGATCTTGTTCTAACTCGATGGCTACTTGTAAATCTATTAGGACCAGGAAGAAAAACAACGACACCAGTTCGACGTCCTGCCAACGAACTCATTCCGGTTCCAGGACACGTCCTCACTCCGGGATCCAACGGACAATGGAACTCTGGAGAAGTGCTCTCTGTTCTGGAAAGAGCGGCTTGTCTTGAGCCCGTGTCTCTCCAGGCAAGCTCGACAAGTGATGTCATTGTATGTTATCATATTCATAAGCTAATATTGAAGTTTATTGTAGAGATTATAGTATGCTACGCTTAAATCGAATTTACTGGAAAAAAAATTAAATGATGAAATGAAATAAACTTATAACAGATAACACAGCTCGTCCTCTTAAGGTTCAGAAACACAGAACACGGGCCGTTGTGGGGAACTGCAATTTTTTTTTTCTATATCGCGCTCTGTGTGGCTGTGATTATGGAGCAGTCATTAAAACTAGATCAGCTGATCGCAAGGGACAGTGCTGACGTATGATCGAGACAGATAGCTTTATTTGTGCTCATATCTTTAAGAGGAAAATGTAAATTATTAGGTTATATCCTACGTTATCAAATTTATACACATTTAAAATAAAAAATAAAGGATTACTCATTAGCTCTTTTGATTAAGATACAGCTTAATTTCCTTATTTATTTTTACTTAATATTCTACCATTCAAATATTTGGACCAAGGATTGGATACCCTTCCGAAATTAAACTTTGAACGCGTTCTAAAACGTGACTTGTCTTCGAGGCTAATGTCATTCTCTTAAATATTTTTAATCAAACCTCCAATATATATACATATATTCTTTTATTTAGCACATAGTTTTTTTCAAACCACGAAGACGCTAATTTAAGTAAATCATATGCCCTTTTCATTGAATTTCTCAGAAAAACTAATCACATGAATCGTTGCATTCATGTGATTATAACATAATTTCAAAACATATATCTAATTAATAAAGTGTTAAAAAAATTTGTGAATAGTCCAGACGTATAGTTTTAGGAAACACACAACCTAAATAAAAAACTGCTGCTTAAGTAAATAAATTTTAAATTATTCGTTAATTTTAAAAATTTTTATAGATAAAATATTAATTATTTTGTTTATAAATAATTTTTATAGAAATTTAAATTTCTATATTCATAAATATTTGGATTTTTTTTTATTGTGAACGATTGAAAAAAAGACATAAATTTAAGGAGTTCTATTTATTTTATGATGAAATAGATTTTTAATAGCTTATTAAAAGAATATTATATATTTTTCTTGCAGGACTCGTATAATCCTAATTATTATAGTAATTGTAAAATTATAAGCTGAAGAAGACTCTAAAAACATAGAAGAAAGCGAAATTTTGTGGATTTAACTGAAAAACAAGCAAATAATATGTTAAAAGCGTTATTTATAATTTTTTTTTTAATGAAGTAGTTCAGATTCGTAGGCAGTTCTTTGGTAATTACCAACATTACATAAGTGTACCTACCACAAACTGCTTTAGTAAAAAATATGCATAAATGCTTTTTCATAAGAATCAACAAAAACTAGATTTCTTTTTTTTTTTCAGTTATTCAGGTCAACAGAAAATATGAGAGCCGATTTAATATTCTAAATGGCAGTAGAACAAAGAATGACAATAAATCAACCGGTGAGTGTGTTGTGACTGTGGATCTGATAACAGATCAAATGGGATGTGGGTTATGGATTTCACCGACGGCATTGTCGATATATTCATTCATGGGACAATGGGCAGGTGCTTCGCATTTCTGTTAGTAACCGTCTCATTGAATATTTCAAACTAGTCTAAGGTATGATTTTAAATTATTATTATAATATATTAAATGGTAAGATAAATATACATACTTTAAACTTATTAGTTTAATTCTAAAAAGCAGATTCAATTTTATATACATATAATTATAATTGAAGAGGAGTTGATTGGGGTGTTCAGTCAAAATATAAAATAAATGTTTATTTATTTTTATTCCATCAGGGCTGTGTTCAGACAAGATAACATATAAACTATTGAAAAATGATACTGTAATATATTGTATTGGAATTTTTATTTTGTTATAATTATATGTTATCTTGTCTGAGCTTAGCTCTGACGAAGGCCTGAAACTTAGCCCAAAACTTTGGCATAAAGGGAATAAAAATAAATATATTTATTTATTTTTACTTTGTAATTTGACTGAACACCCCAATCAAGTTCTCTTCAATTCTTTACTTCAGTCAACCATATATTCACTATCATTATATATTTATAGTAACATACAAACATATTATCCAAATTTGTAATAGCACAAAACTTAAATAAAAAAATGTGAAAAGAAAAAATGAAAGTGAAACATTTACAAATAGTTAAATCAGCACTAAGGACATATACACAATACTCTTTGTTTCAAAATTATTTAATGCCTTTTCTACAAAATTTATATTTAATTTATTAAAGAAATGTATTTATATTAAAATTACCTGTCTCCTTGCTTTCCTCAATATCCATGATGATATTTGGCTGTCCAGACTCAACATCGCACAGACCTGAAATATATAATTAATTAGAAAACTAAGCTTTGACGCTTTGAGTAATTACTTAAAAGTAAATGAAAGAAAAAATGTATAAAATAAACTTAATGAAATCTCATAACGAAATACCTTGTACTAGTAAGAATAACTATTCGTCTTTAGATAAAATAACACTTTTTTTATTTTGAAAAATTGTAAGCATGCATTTAAATCTGATTCAATAAATAATTTCAAATGTTCACATACTTGGCTCACAAAATTTGTTAGAATTTTAGATGTTTAGAGATTAAATATATAAATTATAATGTAATTTGATGCTTCACCCATCCAATAAAATGTATTGCCCATGTGAAAGTTGATTGAACCAGCCACTAAGTCTGAATTAAAAGTTTCCTTAAAGTCTTTGACCCATAGGGTCACTATACATTATGGAATACAATACTCAATACTGGATCTAAGGGTACTTGTATTTATACTTGTTGAGAATCATTAACATTTTTTACCTCAAAAATTTTTTTTTTAGATTCATTAATTTTACCTTGATTTCAGGTGAATTTGAAACATATTGAGTGAAATATTATTTAAATATAAAGGCCCTGATGGCGTATAGCATTAAATGAAAAATATACATAAAAATATATCTGTAAAAAAATTGAAAGCTATAAAAATGTTTCTAAGAACATCAAAATAATTGGTCCCCCGATAATTGCCTTTGTTGAAAAAAAAGTACACTTCTTATTAAAAATTTGAATAAAATAGAACTTGGGTGAAGTACACTTGCTACTTTCAAAGATATTTGTCAAAGCAGTTTTTAGAATTGTTATAAATTTTACAAAGCATGGGGTTTCCAACGTTATCAAACTTATGAAACAGAATACATTTGGGTCAACGAAGTTTTAAGTCTTGTATAACTTTCGAATTGAATTTTCAAAGTAAATATTGTGATCTCAAGCTTTTTGGTAAATTGAATTCTTTCATATTTGAAATAACCTAAAATATTATTTTTTATAATATAGGTTTATTGTTTATTGAGCGAATTTCGTTTGTTAAGTATTTCTGAAAAATAACTTTTAGACACTAGTTTTCTGGTAGGGCTTACAGGGATGTAATGATTTGAAATGAAACTTGGCAAAAGTCTTCTTCTCGAAGCCCTTTAGATATATCTGTATAACATACTTCACCGTAAAGCACCATATCAAGATGGCGCCCAAAAATAGCTCTACGGTATAAATCGTAGCGCCTAAACGAATGCACCGATTTCAATGAAACTTGGTTAATGTTTTCTCCTTCCAGCTATTTTTGTTATTGAAACTCTATCTCACGTTATTCATCATAGTTGATTAGAAACGAAGAAATAATCAATAAGCTACACTTTAAACTATCAAAATTAATTACTTATTAAACGTTTATTTTCAATTTTTGTTTATAAAATTCAAAAATGAACCTTTTTAATCAACCAAAAATATAAAAAATAACACTTACAACTTCTTCTCCCCTCAAAATTTTAATAATCCCTAAATCTGTTATCCGAGGATTTTCTTCAGGACTAATACCGATTTTTTAATAATTTAATACCAAAGTCAGAGATTACTCAAGGGTGAGTTCTTGGCATTCATCATTACCAACTGCCATTTGGTTTCAAATGGCCGATTATAAGTTTCATACACCCATATTTTGAGCTTTATGAAAGATGATTCCTCTGACTAAAGGCAAAAAAAAGTATTAAAGCAATAAAATTTCAATATTTAAGTTCTGAGAAATTCAAAATAGAACAACGGAGAAAAAAATTAGCAAAGATGCTTTTTGGTTTTAAATAAATATATTTTGCCACTGTTGAAAATCTTTATCCAGTTCCCCTCCATTATTCTGCGGGTGTGGTTTGGCCCTTGTGTGGGTTGCGGCTTTATTGTTGGAGTATGTTAGCAAGCTTTTGTGGTTTGTTGAGGAATTGTTTGTAGTCGGCCTCTATGTATTCGTTTGGAGTGGTCATGCGTCGTTCGTTATTGAGGTTCATATTGGAGACAAAACAAGATGACTTTGAGATGGCTGGTTCTTATGTTAGTTATCTGTTGAAGGGCTTTTGGTTGTTTGTAATTTATGATGCGTCTTGTTATGTATTAAATACAATTTATATTTATGTATTATTTCTTTACTATTATAAATATGTACATTTATCATACTTGAAATTTGCAATCGGCATTGTATTTGTTTGCAACAAGCAAATCTGTTCTAAGGGGTGCCCATTCCCTCCGAAGACCGATGGCGCATGAACCCCCTTCCAAGATATTTTATTGCTATCTACTTCTTATCAACAGTGCAAGCGAAAGTAGAATTTAAAAAAAATATAGATAATTTACAATCACACTTTCACTAATCTGTTCTATGTTTTTCTATGGTCCCCTGGTTTGAAACTTTTAATTACGGAAATTCATAACCCTGTCTCCATCAATTTTTTTTTTTTTATTTATTTCTTTATGACATTTACAACTGTATTACATAAATACATCAAGTAAATTTGGACATAATTGATATAATGACATGAATAAACTTGCTGAGTAACTACCCAATGGTAGCACTCTAATGATATGACTACATTAGGAGATCACGGGGCCATCTTCTTTTCAGACGCCTCGGAGGGTTATCAGGAATTGAAGAGGAAGCAAGGTTAGAAACGAGAGGGTTGGGATGATTCTGAAGTTTATTATGGAAGGATAGGTATCTGGATTGGGCCAGATCTGAAACATAAGGAACATTAAGATCTTTATGGATAATTTTATTAGTGACAAAGTAAGGAGCATTGAGGATTTTACGAAGGATTTTGGATTGTAAGGATTGGATGCGAGAGGAATTCGATGGTTTAGTGGAGCCCCATAGCTCAACTCCGTAAGTCCAAATAGGTCTTATTATAGTCAAGTATATGAGTCTTTTGTAATTGTCTCCATCAAAAAATTAAAAACTCGTCAAAATATACCTCACTTAAATATTTTGATGGCGCGGCTCGCACCATGAAACCTCCCTTCTGGGTAATTCTGGTACTCATTCAGGGCAGGGTTTAAATAAAAATATGTTTTGGTCACCGCCATAAAAGTCGTCGGGGTGAAATTAATGTACAAGTTGTTATGGAATTAACTGTTTGGGCTAATGAGTTCATGTTTTAAGTCAGTCTCTCGTGGAAGTTATTGTCATATTGTGTTGTAGTATCTGAAATCGTTAGGATATTCAAGTCTATCCAGAATTTAATCTTGAGGGCTCAAACATGCAAACTTTATATATATATATATATATATATATATATATATATATATATATATATATAATAATTACTAAAGAAGAAACGGAAAGAAACTAACTACATGTACGAAATGGTGTTTAAGTGATTCTGTAAGTCCATCTAATTGTAATTACACGAATAATAATAATTTTAGAGACACTTTTTATTAATTTTTCCATATTTTGGGGGGAGGGGAGAAAGAGGGGGGGGGCTTCCGTAGATCCTTCCGTAGATCCTACCGTATGCTACCGTATCCTACCGTGCTACTTTCATAGAAAGGTGCGTCTGCAATTTTCCACAAAACTTTTTATTGAAATCCTCCCCCTCCCCCCAATAGCTCTATTCCGTTAAGCAAAAAAAAATTATAAGTGATTTGTAGATGATGCTTGTTAGTTAATGATAATTTGGGGCGTCTGTCAAGTAACCTGGATAATATTCTCATATTGATGATATAAATTCTCAAGTAATCCAAAAATTGCATTCTTAGAATTAATTTTAAAGAATATCTTGATGTTTGACCCCTCTTCTTCTTCTTTGATATGTTAAGCATTTTATAAATGAGATCTTAATGGTTTTTAATAAATGAAAGTTTACTAGTATACGGAAGCCCTTCATTAAGTCGAACGAAAAATATACACTTTAGTTAAATTTATTTCGGTTATTGTATTATCGCATTTTTACTGGTCTACTTATTCCTAAGATAAAATTATAAATTATAGTTGTTTAACGGTCATTGAAATAGCTCTAGTTGTTCGCCGTAATTGAAGTATGAAACTGCTTCTACTAAATAATAAGGGCAATTAACAAAACCATTTGATGTCTTATACACCGTTAGGCGGCATAATGGCGCCCTCTTTCAGTCATGACCCTTGAAGCTTCCTCGATGCATCAAGGTGTTAAAACGATTGAAGAGAAAATTGAATTAAAATGACATGTATCCATTTTAAGGCTGATGTATATCGTCAATCAGAAATCAACTTCTATCCTATTATGATCTAAATATTGATTTTAAGCGATCGTAAAGAAGATGTATTAACAATGAATAATAATTTGAGTTTTTAATTTAATCAATTTAGTTCATAAATAAATTTTAATTTTCTCAACATTACAATTATCGCCTTTTTTTTCAATACATTCTTTAATTTTATTTGCGTATGTTCCGGCTTGATGTTAAAATGGTGTAGGTTTTTCGCCTTTTCTAAGTTATAAAACCAATTGTGTAAACAAAAAATGTACTAAAACCTCTCAAAAAACTTTTTGTTTGAAAAAAAAGAAGACTCAAAACAAAAGTGGACTGAAACCATTGCAAGCTAAATTTTATGCAGTTTTGGTTGCAAAACTACCTACATAGCTTTGGTCAACAGGAACCAATTCATTCGGCAAAATTGCAATACCCCTGTACATCGTTCTCATTTCACCAAGGAAAAATTGCCAGAACTGCAAGTAGTAAACGTTTTGTCTCATTCTTAATATAGCTCGGATTGTGGTTTATTTAGATCAATGGAGCATTTTTAAAAGAACGGATCTTTGATAATTACGAGGATGTAAAATTTGGATGTGAAGTGTTCTTTGCCTCAGAACCACAGGAGTGACACAGATTATTTTGATATACAAAATAAAGGTCTTGAACAGTGATTTCTAAATACGGTATTCAGGTTTTTGTAGTTCTTTGAATAAACTTACATGTAAGTGACATTTAAATAAAAATATCTATATTTTAATATTGGACCTTGAAGGCGTTTAT